GTCCCTTGATTTCTTTCATCACCCTTTTGTAGATTTCAGCATACAGATCCTATATATTTTGTTAGATTTATGCAAAAGTATTTCATTTTGGGGGTTTCAATGATGGTTCAGTCCCCAATTATTCATTGTTTGCATATAAAATATAATTGATATTTATGTGTTTTTCTTGCATGCTGAAACTCATTTATTAGTTCTAAGAATTTTTTGTAGATTTCCTGGAATTAACTACATTGACAATCATGTCATCTGCTAATAGGGACAGTTATATTTATTTCTTTTTCATGTGAATGGTCTTTATAACTTGTTATTGCTTCTTGTACCAGCTAAGACTTTCAATAATATGTTGAATAAGGGTGGTGAGAATAAACATTCTTTTTTTTTTTGAGACGGAGTTTAGCTCTTGTTACCCAGGCTGGAGTGCAATAGCACAATCTTGGCTCACCGCAACCTCTGCCTCCTGGGTTCAAGCAATTCTCCTGCCTCAGCCTCCTGAGTAGCTGGGATTACAGGCACGCGCCGCCATGCCCAGCTAATTTTTTGTATTTTTAGTAGGGACGGAGTTTCACCATGTTGACCAGGATGGTCTCGATCTCTCGACCTCGTGATCCACCTGCTTCGGCCTCCCAAAGTGCTGGGATTACAGGCTTGAGCTGCCGCGCCCGGCCTGAGAATAAACATTCTTGCCTTGTTCCTGAATTTAGAGGGAAAGAATTTAGTCTTGCACCACTATATTAGCTGTACAATTTTTGTTGATGCATTTTATTAGATGACTACTCTAGTTTGCTTAGAAATTTATCATAAATGAATGCTGTATTTTGTCAAATCATTTTTCTGCATCTATTGATGTGACCATGCAGTTTTTCTCTTTAGATGGTTAATATGGCCGGTTACATTAATTGATTTTTTTGGATATTGAACCAGCCTTACATTCTCAGAATAAGAGAGTATTCACACTAAGTTACTATATGTGCTTGTTGCATTCTTATAAAAAGAAATTTTCATGTGGCAGCTACAACCAAAATGGCCCATTTGTATTAATATAGTCACTTTATTTCTTGAATAAATTTTCTAGCATATTCCTATGGTGCTGCAATGAGACAGCTGAACTGTGGGAACTGATGCTTTAACTATGAGCCCTCTATCAGTTTCTACTTATATTTAAATAAAGATCAAAGTTGGAGGATACACACTGCTATATTAACAAGCCATCTGAGCCAGGCGCGGTGGCTCAAGCCTGTAATCCTAGCACTTTGGGAGGCCGAGGTGGGTGGATCACGAGGTTGAAAGATCGAGACCATCCTGGTCAACATGGTGAAACCCCGTCTCTACTAAAAATACAAAAAAATAGCTGGGCATGGTGGCACGTGCCTGTAATCCCAGCGACTCAGGAGGCTGAGGCAGAAAAATTGCTTGAACCCAGGAGGCGGAGGTTGCAGTGAGCCGAGATTGCGCCATTGCACTCCAGCCTGGGTAACGAGCGAAACTCCGTCTCAAAAAAAAAAAAAAAAAAAGCAACAACAAGCCATCTGTATCAAAGTAAGAATGGCATTAGAGTATACAAGTACACCTAGCATCTACCACTATACCTAGCACATAGTAGATGCTGAAAAGATATTTGTTGAATAAAAATGATTACATAGCCGGGTGTGGTGGCTCACACCTGTAATCCCAGCACTTTGGGAGGCTGAGGAAGGTGAATCACTTGAGGTCAGGAGTTTGACACCAGCCTTGCCAATATGGAGAAACCTGGTCTCTACTAAAAATATGAAAATCAGCCAGGTGTAGTGGTATGCACCTGTAATCCCAGCTACTCAGGAGGGTGAGGCAGGAGAATCACTTAGCTGCAGTGAACTGAGATCACACCACTGCATTCCAGCCTAGGTGACAGAGCAAGACTCCATCTCGAAAAAAAAAAAAAAAAAAAAAAAGACTACATAGCTCTATGAATGAATGAATCCAACCAGCTCTTAATATTTGATTAAGGAATTATATATTAGTTTAATTGATGTGAATAATAAAATAATTTATAGTGTGAATAATTCAAAAGTTGTACTTATGTTTGAATACTAATGACAAGAATTTTATTCAAATGGCACAAAAAATACAATGAAAACCTTATTAAAAGGGTGCTGGATCATGGCTGGGCACGGTGGCTCACACTTGTAATTGCAGCACTTTGGGAGGCTGAGGCGGGTGATCACAAGGTCAAGAGATTGAGATCATCCTGGCCAACATGGTGAAACCTCATATCTACTAAAAAGACATAAATTAGCTGGGCATGGTGGCGCATGCCTGTAGTCCCAGCTACTCGGGAGGCTGAGGCAGGAGAATCACTTGAACCCCAGAGGCAGAGGTTGCAGTAAGCCAAGATCACGCCACTGCACTCAGCCTGGGCGACAGAGCGAGACTCTGTCTCAGAAAAAAAAAGGTGCCGGATCTTCTTTACAGTAGAATTCCAATTTACAAATGTAGAATTAAAGAAGAATATACAAAATCACCTTTAGGGAAACACTATGGTACTAATTGTACATAAGATCTACCTAGTGGATGCTAAAACTAGTGGGTGAAAGTTTGCAAACTATGAAACAGGATTTGCATATTTTCAAAGTATCTGCCTCGAGATCTTTATTAACTACCCCATTACTTTACAATAGAAAACGTAGGAGAAAACAGCTTAACTGAGTGATCAATGTGAGCATCACCAGTAGTAAAATACATGGATATCATGAATCCTGTGATACGATGCATCAAGAAAGATACAACATCATTTCTATAGTATTCTTGCCAAAAGTGTATAACTTTAGTATAATCATGAGGAAATGTAAGACAAACCAAATTTGAGGAGCTTTTGACAAAATCACTGATCTATTAATACTCTTCCAAAGTGTGAAAGTCATGAAAGACAGGTAAAAATTGAGGAATTGTTGTAGATTGCAGGAATAAAGAGAAATAACAACTAAATAAAATGTGAGACTCTGGATAGAATCTGAGAACAAAACAAAAGACATTAGTGAAAAACCCAATGAGATTCAAATAAAGTTTTTAATTTCGAATGTTAATTTTCCGGTTCTGATCAATATACAATGATTATATAAAATGTTAACATTAGGAGAAGCTGTGGAAGGGATATACAAAAACTGCATTATTTTTCTAACTTTTCTGTAATTCTAAAATTAGTTTAAAATTTTTAAAAATTGTAAGATGTTGGGGCCGGGCGTGGTGTCTTACGCCCGTAATCCCAGCACTTTGGGAGGCTGAGGCGGTAGGATCATGAGATCAGGAGTTCAAGACCAGTCTGACCAACCTGGCAAAACCCTGTCTCTACTAAAAATACAAAACTTAGCCCGGTGTGGTGGTGCGTGCCCGTAATCCCAGCTACTCAGGAGGCTGAGGCAGGGAATCGCTGTGATTATACCACTGCACTCCAGCCTGGGCAACAGAGCAAGACTCTGTCTCAAAAAAAAAAAAAAAAAAAAAAAAAAAAAGAAGCAGAAATAAAATTGTGTACAGTGTAACTATTAATATAAAGTTCAAAATGGGGACAAATTAAACTATATTGTATAGGAATATGTACACTACTGGTAAAGAAAATCAAAGAAATTATTACCATAAATGACAAAATAATGAATCCTTCTGTGGGGAGAGGTGGAGTTATAATCAAAGACCTGGGTGGTAGTTATGTGGGTGTTTGTTTTATAAACATTAAGTAAGCTTGACATCTATTAATCTATTTTAATGCATTTTCTACGAGTATGTTATATTTCACAATAAAAATGGGGATTACTAAATTAATTACCAAAACTATTACTCAACTAATTAGAGCAATTAAGACAGTACAATATTGCAAAGATAGACAATTAGGCCAATGAAACAGAAAAAAAGAGACACGTATAGGAATCACATGATGTGTATCAGATATGTCACTACAGAGACAGGCTTCTTTTCTTTTTCTTTTTCTTTTTCTTTTTCTTTTTCTTTTTCAAACGGAGTCTTGCACTGTCACTAGGCTGGAGTGCAGTGGCGCAATCCCGGCTCACTGCAACTTTGGCCTCCTGGGTTCAAGCGATTCTTCCACCTCAGCCTCCTGAGTAGCTGGGATCATAGGCGCATGCCACCATGTCTGCCTAATTTTTGTTATTTTTAGTAGAGATGGGGTTTCACCATGTTGGCCAGGATGGTCTCAATATCTTGACCTTGTGATCTGCCCACCTCGGCCTCCCAAAGTGCTGGGATTACAGGCGTGAGCCACCACACCAGGCTCTTTTCTGTTTTTTGTTTTTTTGTTTTTTTGTTTTTGTATCTTTAGTAGAGAAGGGGTTTCACTATGTTGGCCAGACTGGTCTCGAACACCTGACCTTGTGATCTACCCGCCTTGGCCTCCCGAAGTGCCAGGATTACAGATGTGAGCCACTGCCCCCCGCCCAGAGACAGGCTTTTAATGACAAATGATGTAAACCAATAGGGTCTTTACGTGTAAAAAACATTTCAGACCTCTACCTCACACCATACCCAAAAATCTACTCCTGGTTGATGAAGACCTAAATGTAAAAGTTAAAGCAAAAAAGACATTTTGGAATAACATAAGTGAATATCTTTATGATCTTCAGATAGAAAAAGATTTCTTAAACAAGACACAAAAAGCAAAAGGAAAAGTCCAAGGGAAAAAAACTGATAAATTTGAATTAAGTACAATTTAAGAACTTCTATCTATTCAAAGCTACTATAAAGTTTGAAAAACAGCTGGGTGTGGTGGTTCATGACTGTAATCCCAGCACCTTGGGAGGCCGAGGTGGGTGGATTACTTGAGGTCAGAGGTTTGAGACCAGTCTGGCCAACATAGTGAAACTGCATCTCTACTAAAAATACAAAAATTAGCCAGTCATGTTGGTGTGGACCTATAGTCCCAGCTACTTGGGAGGCTGAGGCAGGAGAATCGCTTGAACCAGAAGGTTCAAGCAATATTGTTCATAATAGCCCCAAACTGGAAACAAAGACAGGATACCATGAACCCTGGAGACAGAGAGAATGGGGAGGTAGAAACCTTGGATTCTGATGGCTTTTGAATTCTAGTTCCAGTCTTTGATGAAGTCTAACTGCCCTTTGTACTCTTTTAAATGAATTTCCTATTTTGCTTAAGCTAATTTGAGTAGGTTTTCTCTTTCTTGCAATCAGTAGAGGCTTGCCTAGAGAAAAAAAAATGTGGTGAAAAAATTCTACAGATTACAAGAGACTTAAGAGACTTATTAACCAATGTGAGGACCACATTTGGGTCCTAATTTAAACACACAGGTTGTAAAACAAAGCACAACATGTAACAGCAAATAATTTTTTAAAGGCCACCGCAAAACTCACCATACCTCTGGTTCAAGGTCTCTTGTGAGGTGGCAGTTTATCTCAGAGCTCTGCTGAGGCTGGAGAATCTGCTTCCAGGCTCACTCATGTAGCTGTTGGCAGGCCTGAGTTCCTCCTCATTTTGGCTTCTCCATATTCATAACACAGCAGCTGGCAGGACCCAATACAAAATAAAAACACAGGGCTCTTAGTTCAAAAATTATTCAGAATTTCAAGACAGCGACAGCAAAGCATTAAACCAAGTGCAGAGTCCTTCTAAGCCCAGGACTCTGTCTTGACTATATAGATTACAAACCTTTGAAGCCACCTCTGGCAGGTAGTGACCTGAATGAGAGAAAAACCAAGATGGAAACCAAAGTCTTTTTGCAACCAAATCTCGGAAGTGTCATCCAGTCATTTTTGTTACAGTCTACTCCTTAGAAACAGGTTAGGATACAACAAAGCCACAGCTCATATGAAGAAAAAAAAGAAAAGAAAGGAAGAAACAAGTTAGTAAGTTGGTTCCACACTTAAGGGGGAGGAAGTTGTACAAGGGCAAGAACACCAAATGGCCATTGTGGATCATCTTAGAGACCCTCTACAACAACAATCGTTTGTGAGATAATCAGGGAAATTTGAACGCTGAGTGGATAATGATGCTATTGCAGTTAAATTAGAAGAGTATTATCATTTAGAGACACATACCAAATTATCTACAGATTAAATAATCAAATGCCTTGGATTTGCTTCAAAGTAATATAGGGTGGGAGAGGAGTGGAGACATGGATTGGTTATGGGTTGACCATTGTTGAAGTGGGCATATATGTATTTCATTATAGTCTATTTTTGTATATGCTTGAAATGTCTTATAAAAAGGAGCCTTGCTTATCTAAGACAATAAATTGGCTCACTAAATTCATAACTGAATTTAGATGAGCATATTGGTATGATGTAAATTGAGGACAGACCCTTAGAGAAGGAAGTATGGGCTTGAAACATCATAAGGATGACACTATGCCTGTGAGTACATTCGCTTCGACATTTCCAAATTCACATGGTGCTTCTTAGAAAAGAAAGTAAGCAGTAAAGAAGGAGCTGAAGGAAGAGGTTGGAGTGATTGTGCTATAGAAGAGAACCAACACAAACCAACTTCAAGTCCGTGAAGTGTGATTCTTGCCTTGCTCTCCAGTTTTATCTTCAGCCCTGGAGAATTCCCAGGGCCTTCTTGCGCTAGACTAGGAGTAAGAATGGTGCTGCTTTTGATCTGTTGGAATTAGCGGTCTTATTGCTCTGGTATTTGCTTCACATGTTTAACATTAAGACCCTGCAGTGAAAGATGCTTGAGTCTATGATATTGAATTGAAATATAAAAGCATGTGGCAAAATAGGAAGATAAGCTGGGAATCAAAGAAGACAATAAAAAGTACTAATGAAATACCATTACCACACTCGGTCAGCTATACACATGGATCGTTTTTATTTTAAATGTTCTTTACAGTTTTTATTTAAGGTGACTTTTAAAGCCAAGCTACTTTTTCTTAAATTATCTTGCTTTTCAGGCCTGACACTTAGTTTGCTGGCAAGGCAACTGATTCCTCCTCTCAACATCGCTTATTCAGCTTTCTGTTCTTCGGTAATTTATGTAATTTTGGGATCATGTCATCAAATGTCTATTGGTGAGTTCAACACTGCAATACACATGTGGTAAATGAAGTTTCTATCCTGATCATATACTTATTGCTAAGGAACCCAACGTAATGTTATCTTTAAGACAGAAAGAAAGGAAGCAGAAGATAGACATTCTATCCATACAGTGTTCAGATTATAGAAATAAATATTTCTAGTGTATCATTATTATTGTCACCACCAGAAAACAGGCCAGCAAAATATTTCCCAAAGAAATTAAAGGGGGCCAGGCGCAGTGGCTCACGCCTGTAATCCTAGCACTTTGGGAGGCCGAGGTGGGCAGATCAAGAGGTCAGGAGTTCGAGACCAGTCTGGCCAGCATGGCAAAACCCCATCTCTACTAAAAATACAAAAATTAGCTGTGTATGGTGGCACACACCTGTAGTCCCAGCTGCTTGGGAGGCTGAGGCAGGAGAATTGCTTGAACCCAGGAGGTAGAGGTTGCAGTGGGCCAAGATCACTCCACTGCACTCCAGCCTGGGCAGTAAAGCAAGATTCAGTCTCAAAAAAAAAAAAAAAAGAAAGAAAGAAAGAAAAGAAAAGAAAAAGAAATTAAAGGGCAAAGGTACCTTCCCTGAGAAATCACCACACATTGGAATCTGACTTCCCTCAACCCAGAAGATCCAGAAATGTTTGTGTCAATACTCCTAAAGTAGATGCTTCTTTAATCTGACCCATAAAAACCAAACTCCATAGGCTGACTTGTTATACAGCATGCCAGCTTATCAATTTACAATGAAAACAATTTCACAGCAATGAAAACACTGACATCCACAGGATGAGTACTTCCCTTCTCTGAGTCAAAAGTCCACCTACTAATTTGTAATTAGAAATAACTGGCCGGGTGCAGTGGCTCGTGCCTATAATCCCAGCACTTTGGGAGGCCAATGCAGGTGGATCACGAGGTCAAGAGATCGAGACCATCCTGGCCAATATGGTGAAACCCTGTCTCTACTAAAAATATTATAAAAAATTAGCTGGGCATAGTGGTGCACACCTGTAATCCCAGCTACTTGGGAAGCTGAGGCAGGAGAATCACTTGAACCTGGGAGGCAGAGGTTGCAGTGAGCTGAGATTGCACCACTGTACTCCAGCCTGGTGACAGAGTAAGACTCTGTCTCAAAAAGAGAGAGAGAGAGAGAGAGAGAGAGAGAGAGAGAGAGAGAGAGAGAGAGAGAAATAACTATTACAGAGGTCAGACTAGTTAAAGGTCATATAATCACCACATTTACCTCACCTAGGTGAGGCTGCATAGAAATCAAATCACAAAATTCCCCCATAAGTTTAGAAGGTCATTGCCAACATTTACTCAGTGATGTGCCTTTTCCTGGATTTCCCCACTGAACAAATGGCCAATACACCAACATTTACTATTCTGATTGACACATTCTTTATACATGTTTACATATTCAGTCGAATTAACATCCTGTCCTTCTAGATGTGAAGTGCTACTTTTCCTTTTTTTTTTTTTTTTTTTTTTTGAGATAGAATTTTGCTCTGTCACCCGTGCTGAGCCACTGCGCCTGGCCAACCTATTCTTTATTATCATTATTATTATTATTATTATTATTATTATTATCTCTAAGTGAGAAAGTGCTTGTGGAACAAGCTACTCTTAAAAAAAGGAAAAGTACGCTGGGCACGGTGGTTCATGCCTGTAATCCCAGCACTTTGGGAGCACAAGGTGGGTGGATCACCTAAGGTTAGGAGTTCGAGATCAGCCTGGCCAACATGGTGAGACCCCATCTCTACTAAAAATACAAAACTTAGCCAGGCATGGTAGCGGGCACCAGTAGTCCCAGCTACTCGGGAGGCTGAAGCAGGAGAAGCTCTTGAACCTGTGAAGCCGAGGTTGCAGTGAGCCGATATCACGCCACTGCACTCCAGCCTGGGTGACAGAGCAAGACTCCGTCTCAAAACAAAAACAAAAACAAAAACAAAACAAACAAAAGAAGAATAGCTCGTGGCTAGACACAGTGGCACATGCCTGTAATCCCAGCACTTTGGGAAGCCGAGGCAGGTGGATCATCTGAGGTAAGGCGTTTGAGACCAGCCTGGCCAACATGGTGAAACCCTGTCGCTACTAAAAATATAAAAAATTAGCCAGGTGTGGTAGCAGGCACCTGTAATCCCAGCTACTCAGGAGGCTGAGGTGGGAAAGTTGTTTGAACCCAGGAGGCAGAGTTTGCAGTGAGCTGAGATCACGTCATTGCACTCCAGCCTGGGCAACAAGAGTGAAACTCCATCTCAAATAGTAAATAAACTGAATAAATAAAAGCTCGTGTCTTTACTCAAAATTCATTATGTGTTGATTTTACATTTGAACAACAAGAGAACAATTTTATTCCTACATTTCCAAGTTTCTGAGGAATCTCACAATCATTTCCAAGTATTCATAAGGGTTGTTAGAGATTTATTTCTGTTAGGTAAATTTTAAGTTAAGATTTGCCTTTGCTCCCATATGTGGTATGTCAATATGTGGACTAAACAAAATAACATTTGAAATAGGTTTAATTTAACTCAGCATCAGTATTCTTTGTCTCCTATTGTTATTGATTGGTTTATTTATTTATTTATTTATTTATTTATTTATTATTTTTTGAGAGGCAATAGCACAATCTCTGCTCACTGCAACCCCTGCCTCCTGAGTTCAAGAGATTCTTCTGCCTCAGCCTCCCAAGTAGCTGGGATTACAGGCATGCGCCACAACACCCAGCTAATTTTGTATTTTTAGTAGAGACAGGGTTTCACCATGTTGGTCAGGCTGGTCTTGAACTCCTGACCTCAGGTGCTGCGCCCGCCTTGGCCTCCAAAGTGCTGGGATTACAGGCATGAGCCACCACACCCTGCTTGATTGGTTTGTTTTCTAATATTTTCTCTACCATCTCACTTTTAACCTTCTCTAAGAGCAGACACAGCAGCTGAGCCTGACACCCATTTCAGTCAACTTCTCATTCCACTTAACATGCCCACAATATGAAGGGACTAAATACCTAGACCACCATCATCTAAATTCCATGAGTTGGTCATGGTATGGGGAGCCACAGTTCTCTTTCCTGAACTTTCTTATTTCTCAAGAGCCACTTTCAAATGAGAAAAGTTATTCAAAGGAAGGACAATATGGAATTCAACCAAACCTTGCTTTTGTCAGTATCAGTTTATAGAAACTTCACATTCTGCCTAACGTCTTCTTCCACAGGTTCCTTCTTCCTGGTGAGTGCTCTGCTGATCAATGTTCTGAAAGTGAGCCCATTCAACAGTGGTCACCTGGTCATGGGATCTTTCATCAAGGATGATGTTTCTACCCACTCCTACCTTATGGGCTATAATAAATCCTTGAGTGTGGTGGCAACCACAACTTTTCTGACTGGGATTATCCAGGTAGGATCTGAGTCTTCAAATCCCTGAAAAGGAACTGAATAAAGGTGCTATAAACAGACCCCTTCCTTATATTGCTCCTGTGATCCACTGTAATATACCTGGAC